CGCGCGCTCGTGTGTGTAAATGCAAACAGCTGGTGGGGGGGGGGCACTAAGAGCCAAAGGCTCGACCAGCAGGGAGAAAAGTGACAGGCAGGCTGGCCTGGTGGCTCATGAAAGAACCTGAGGGCAAAGAGCTACAGGACGCCCCCCCTCCGAGTTTTATGCCCATCTCTGTTTTTCCCCTCTGCCCCAACGATCACGTAAAAGCTCTCAGCTGACCCAAGAGTTGGAAAGGTCAGATTTTCGAACTAACAGAGATGGAGACAGCGCGGGCAGGCCTCCCGCTGAAACCCAGCCAGCCTAGCCCCTCGGAATAAACTACTGCTTTCTGGCAAAGTCTCTGCTCCTGCTCAGAGAAGTGTAATAATCATTTGTATGCATATTCACTTCCCCCAAGTACTGACTCTACTCCAGGATAAAATTGTCTCTTGAACTCTAGTGGAATCACACCACCACGTTTTTGGTTTTGTTTTGTTTTGTTTAATTACTTTAGTTCAGAGACTATGGGGAGGGGGGGAGCAAAAAACCGCGGTGAAGAAGCATTTGTTTTTAAAGGGCAATTATGGAACAGCTGCGGGGCTGCTCCAGCACTGAGACACAATCATCATGTCGCTTGTCGAGAAATTAGCCGAGTCTGTGGAGAGGAGCACGGTCTGTGCGAATGCAAATTCGGTTTCAGAAAAGCCCCAATTCCAGCAGTGCCTGTTCACAGAGGAATACTCGAAATCCTGATGTTTGCCCGACTGCTGGGTGACTGAAAGGGCACTTTTGCAGGCAGCACCGAATGCGTTCAGGGTTTTGTAGGACAAGCACACACATATAGTCTGAGTCACTCAAAGGGAACGTATTTAGCAGGGATCGCAATAACGTATATGAGCACAGACGTCTGCCTGGACCCTTCAGTTCCATTACATGAGGAATCAAGTGCAGGCCTGATCCACTTTCGGGGGCAGGATCTCAAAGTGCAAACCAAGGAATGAGGTTAACGGAACAGGGCTTGCATTAGCAAAGGTGTCCCAATAAGCTACTTTTAATGTTGTGGTTCCATAGTCTATTTAAACTTTAGACCATTTTGAAGCTAAAGAGATTCAAAATGAAGAGACATTAAGATATGTGAATCCTAAATAATACTTTAAACTACTGAGGTAACAGTCTAAGGCTAAGCCTGGCGCATAGTATGTGCTCAGTTAAGTACTTGTCAAATGAACAAATCAGCACACATTTTAATAAGGACAGAGCTCACTGGGTAAAATGAGATACACCTGTACAAGATTTTATATATATACGTATATATATATATATATACGTATATATATATATACACACATATATATATATACACGTATATATATATATATATATAAATATGTTAAAATAACATTCTAGCAAGTATCCCCCCCAGAAATGTCAGGCATATACGTGAAGTTTCATACCTTTCCATAAATTTTTGGAAAATGTTGCCTCGGAGACTTTCACAAATTTCTTCTATGTAGGGCTGGAAAGGATGGAAAAGAAATTCCACACTGCGTAAATAGGAACCCATAACACAAACTGATGAGACTCGGACTGGTGGGAGTTCCCACTCTTCCACTTGCCCTTGTCGGTGCTTGCCCCGTTTTCAATAACAGATTCATCACCGTGATTGTTTACTTAACAGTTATCTGCACTATTCAACTGCGAGTTCCAGGAAGGTAAGGACAGGTCTGTCCTGTTTGCCACCGAATCCTTACGGCCTGGCATGGTTCCTGGAAAGTCACAGAGGCTTCCCGGGTGACCAGAGTTGGTTTTCCGGGTGTGTGACCCATGCAGCCCCATAGGGCTGGCACCCAAAAGGGCCCACTGCTTGGTTTGGGGCCCTGCTATCACCATCTTGAAATTCTTAATTTCTGACCAAGGGGCCCACGTCTTTCATGCTGCGCTGGTCTCTGGAAGTTACACAGCACATTTTGTTAATTAATAAGTGTTGCTACTCAGCATCGATACTGAGTTTTAAAGACTAAAAGCTAATGGATCCATGGAGTAAATGGGTTTTTTGTAATTAGCTATTTTACTTATTGACTTTCTACCTCACATAATCATAGAGATAAAGACAACCATGGGGAAGAGTTAATCCCTCTCCTCATTTTGCACATACGGAGGCTGGGGCACTGCGGGCAGGTGCTATCCCATGGTCTCTGAGCAAATTCATGGCTAGACCAAGATTAAGGGCTCCTGGCTCATTTGTGCAGTGCATGTCCCTTTACAGAGAACAATCTGCAGGGGACCCTTGTATAACAGGAGTCTGAACCACACAAGTCCGCTTATAGATTGATTTCTTACAGTACAATATTGTAAATGCATTTCCTTATACTTTTCTTAATGTTTTTTCTCTAGCTTATTATAAAAATACAGAATAGAATATATATGACATACAAAGTAGGTGTTAATCAACTTTTTATGGGACCAGTAAGACTCCTGGTCAATAACAGGCCATCAGTAAAGTTTGGGGGTGGGAATCAAACGTTATAAGTGGATTTTCGACTACAGGGGGGTCAGCGCCCCTATTCCCTATGTAGTTCAAGGGTCAGCTGTATGTATTTTGAAGTACTTTTGCCTTACCTGGAAAAGAGTGGATGTCACTTGTTTCTTGGATAGGTGACTTTGTACATGTTCTACAGCTTGCTTTGAGAACGGCTTTTTTATTAAGAAAAAAAATCAGAAAACAGTTATTTTTTTTCCCACAAATATAAAACATAAACCTATGTTACACAATACCACAACATATAATTTAACACAATTACTAGGCAGGAACCTATGGTAGTTATGTTGACGTGCATTCTTTAGAAATCAGTTGGATATTTATGGGCAATCCAAACAGGTGCTTGTCCCTCTGAGCTTCTAGAATTCTTAGACGCCGTGTCGAGAAGGATGATGAGCATGGGGCACCTGACCGACATATCTAGTCCCACAAGAATTTAAGATTAACTGTGATGTAAAAAAAAAAAAAAGTGTAAAGAAGTTTACTATCACTTTATTAAATGCATATATCCCTTAATTAGCTAATAATGAGGGTCCTGAGAACATACAAATTCTACTAGGTAAGACCAAACAAATGCATGAAAATACACGTAAGAGTTAAATGTCAGGACTACAAAGCTAATCCAGGGTGGTAGAGGGCTGGAGGTTAAGGGAAGTCTTGCCGTGACCATGGCAGAGGGGAACTGGCTCTGGAAGAATAAAGCCTACACCAACAAGAAGTACACATTCTATTCTCCCCCCAGACTTCCAATTACATCTTCTTTAATAATGCACCCTAAGAAGGAAAGCTTCACATGCACCTTATACTGCCGAAAAACCTGCTGAATTGCTGAGCTACATGACAACTAATTTCCGAGGCATCCCCACAGAACATCCGGCATTTTCCAAGGTTCAGCCATTCTTTGGCAAGGTAGCAAGGCACAGAGCATCGACCATTTAGCTCCAGCTCAGGATTCCTGTCTACTACGGGGCGCCTGGGTGGCCCAGTTGGTTAAGCCCACTGGCTCTTGATTTGGGCTCGGGTCATGATGCCGTGGTTTGTGAGTTCGAGCCCCACATCGGGCTCTGCGCTGACAGCACAGAGGCTGCTCGGGATTCTCTCTCTCTCTCTCTCTCCCTCTCTCTGCCCCTCCCCTGTTTGCGCATGCTCTCTCTCTCTCTCAAAATAAATAAATAAACATTAAAAAACAAAAAGAAATGCATGCCACAAGAGGTGCCACCTTTAGCCACAGTTATTCATGTGTCAGTTAAGACGGTGAATGGCACAATAAATACAGAGGCAGCAAAATAAACCATGATCCTGGCCAGTGCCGTCCGCTGGAACTTTCTGCAATGGCGGCAATGGTGTGAACCTGTGCTGTCCAATACTGGAGCCACCAGCCACGTGTGGCTATTGAGCACTTGAAATGTGGCTTGTGAGGAACTGAGAAGTTAAATTTTTAACTCCATTGGATTTTAATGGAGTTTACACAGCCACCTGTGGCTCCTGTACTGGACACAGCAGGCCAGAACCATGGGGCCACTCCTTTAGAAAATTCTCTCAGAGACATTACATGTTAAAAAAAAAAAAAATTAACATTTATTCATTTTTTGAGAGACAGAGAGACAGTATGAGCAGGGGAGGGACAGAGAGAGAGGGAACACAGAATCCGAAGCAGGCTCCCGGCTCCCAGCCATCAGCACAGAGCCTGACGCCGGGCTCGAACTCACCAACAGCGGGATCGTGACCTGAGCCGAAGTCAGACGCTTAACCGACTGAACCACTCAGGCGGCCCACGTGATAAATTTTTATTACTAATTATTCCACTCACTCCTGGTGGAATAGTTTCCTAGGAACCTAGTTTATCGCAATGACCAAATGGATTATTTATCTGATTTACACTGGGGTGGGGGGGGGGGGATATTTCCACTGTCTATTTAGCTATTAATAAAATTAATGTAATAATTATGCTCTTCCTCATGAATCCACAGAAACCATTTAAAATTTATGTTGATCAATATTTGATTAGCCTAATTATTTAAAGGAGAGCCACACTAACAACAATAAAGCTTAATTTCCTTTAGAAAGTCTAGAACTGAGACCAGCCCTTTCTTCTGCTTATCTGAAGGAGCTGTCAATCTTATTTGCCTCGTTCTTCTTCGCCGTGAAAGATCTGCTTTCGGCAATACACTCGGAGGAGACAAAGCAACAGCTCTGTATCAGGGTTACCAGGAGACAAATGACAGAAGAGAAGAGACAGGTCCCGTCCCCGGGGACTCCTGTTCGATTTTTAAACTTCTTCCTCCCATTTGGGTTTCTCTCTGGGAACTCTGCAAGCTGTCTCCTACCCATCCTGGAGGAACAGGACACAAAGAAAGACTTACATGCGAACAAGACAGCAGCTCCTTCATGATGTACTTGTCATAAATTTGCCGGCTCCTGCAAAGGCGGTCTTCTTCATTCTCAAGCTTCTCGTATTCTTTTATCTAGATTTTTCAAAGTTAGCATGGTTAGGTACGTCTTCCCAGAAAACTCGCTTTATTAAAAGATATTACTTGCCCGGGAAAAACCACTTCCACAGGAGATTAAGGCAAATTGCTGAACCCGCTACTCCACCGGAAACAACCACTTCTAACGTTAGAAGAATGAAGTTGGGATCATTTAAATGCAACTTGAAACATACAAATGAGTTTTTTCCTATGATGAACCTCATCACTTAAATTTAGAAGCACAATACCAGGAAACAAATATTGCCATGGCTACAATTATCTTACAATATACCAGCCCGGGACCATTCATCCTTGCCAATTCTCCTTTCCAGAGCAAAACCCATTTAAATCTGGCTGTAATTCAGTTCTAAGACTTATGACGGGGGTCGTTCTCACTCAGCTACGGCATTACAAAACAAAAGAAAAAATATATATATATATATGTATTGCCACGATTCCTGCAAAGAGTTTTTTTTTAAAAAACCAATTGAATGTTTTAGAAAGGCACTGACCCATAGAAGGAAGCATTGGTTTTTCAGGTTTGAGCCTCAGCCGCACAATAAAAGTGTTAACAGACAGGTACCTTCAAACAGTCTATACAGGGAAGCTAATCGGAATGGTGAGGATAGGCCAAATAATAAAAATATGCTTTAGAAACACTTGCCTTATGTCGAAAATGGCCCCCAATCACTCCAATCTGATAACAGAAGCTCCTGCATCAGAGGAGTTGCTTTTATTTATTTACAGAAATACTTCTAATCCAAAAGACAGAACGAGAGCACAAATGAAACACGGAGTTAGCAGGAAGACTGCAGCAAAGATCTTCAATATAATCATTAATTGCTACGTATGACTTACTTTTGGGAACAAAGCGTTTTCAACAGACAGACAGTTGTTTATATGGACTTTTCACAGTATCTGAGAGTTCTTTATTCCAGGATGACACAACAGAAATGAAAGTTACCTTTTTACAGGATAGGCTGGGTTAGATCATTTTGAAATCAAAACCAGTAAATCCTAGGAGAATTTCCGATAAAGACGGGGCACAGCTGACAGGGAGTGGGTGTGTGTGTGAAATACTGAGGTCCCGGATGAGGGCCAGCTGGTTGACACCCAGAGAAATGACTGGGGTCATCTTATTGTCCTGAAATACCACCAGTGTTACAACGAGGTGGCTGGGATTCACAAGTCTGTGACTGCCAGGGCTTAGAATGGAGTCTTGTTGGAACAGACAATAAAGTCTCCCTTGAAGGCAGGCGGACTGGGGTAGGCTATATACCCCACCCAACCAGAAAAGACTGTTCGAATGAAGCAGCAACCCAGCAATGTTGGCGTAGCCAAAGAATCCGGGCTTAACGACTGTGAGTCAATTCAGAAAAACAAGTCTAAGGAGTTCAAATACCATGCTGGATGCAAATATGGCAGCTGTGAGGCAACAGAAACCAGACACCAAAATCCGAAGTAGAGTCAGAAAACAAACAGAGGATCTGGCTTGGTTGATTACTTTTGTTGTTTTAATATTAGGTAGGTCCGTAGGTCAGTGCAGAATTCTGGGATAGAAGAGGTTCACGGAAACGTTTCTGCCTAAACAAGTAAATGAACTCAAGAAATTGTAAGCCTTCATGGAATTATTATCCTAGATAACAAATGTAATGAAATATAAGTCTATGTTCCTGGGGGCCTCAAAAGCAAGTTGACACCTGTTTAAACAAATGCTGATGCCATGGGAAGTTTTCCATGAACTGTAGCAATCCGACCACATGGAACATTCTTGTTTCTCGGGCAAATGATATGCTGAACCACAATACTAGCTTTATTAAGAGCCTTGTAGCTCATGAACTCCCAACCTGAACAACAGAAAAGGTAACTCTCAGTAGGCAAAGTAAGAGCCTCAAGTGTCTGTGGCTGTAATTCAAAATTCACTTTCTATTATCAGGAGGACCACTAACTAGAGAACATGCAGTCAACTATCTGTCAATGTAGCCAGGATGATCTTATTGTAGCCTATGCATGGAAAATGCCACACCTCCAACTGGGGCAGTTAGGTGGACCAGGTAACCTGAGCAGGCAGAGGCCTGAGTTCAAGGTGAAAAGTCTCCCCTTGCGCAGGCAAGAAGTGTGGTGGTCATCGATGACGAACGTTCACTGATCGTGTGGTCCCGTTCTGCCTGGGTGCTTACAAAGTTCACAGCTGAACACGCAGCCTCAATAACCAGAACCCTGAGGGCAAGCAACTTCTGGTCCCCAGCTCCACTTTCTTACTACCATTTCGTTGAGATGGCCTTGTAAAGCCACTGATGGCTTCTGCAACAACCATACATTCTATACTATACTATACGCTCACCTTCGTGAGGGATCAGAAGTACAAACATAACCGGAAGGAGGACCAAACAGAAGCTGGCAAGTAGGAGAGGATATTCTCGAAAATAAACAGCAAGAGAGAGGGAGCTCCAAAATTCTGTGTGTGAAAACTCTGCCAAGATCTCTGTTGGACCCTATAATGACCTGCGAGCATAGCAGATCCAAAGCAGTCCAGATAAGGCTACAAGAATTGGACAAGATTCGGCTGTTACTCATAAGACAGAGCTTTTGAAAACTGAGTTCAAGTTAATTGCTAAAACAAAAAATCACTACCCTTTCGAGAAGCATACAGAATTTAGAGTACATATCTATAATATATTAATCCCAATGTACAAAACACAATCCAAAACTATCCTACACATCGGGGCACCTGGGTGGCTCAGTCGGTTGAGTGACTATTGATTTTGGCTCAGGTCATGATCCGAGGGTTGGGGGATCAAGCCCCATGGTGGGCTCCACGCTGGGTGTGGAGTCTGCTTAGGATTCTCTCTCTCTTTCCCTCTGCCCCTCTCCCCAACTCACTGCTCTCTCTCTCTCTCTCGAAAATAAAGTAAAATAAAAATAAGAAAACAAATTATTCTACATACCAAGAAACAGGAAAATGTGGCCCACACACTCTAAGAGAACAGACCATAAATGAAGACCATTCTGAGATTACTCTGGTGTCGGAATTATCAGACAAGGATTTGATGCAGCTTTATAACTATACTTCAAAGACGTAACAGAAAATATACATAAAATGAATAAAAAGATAGGAAATAGCAGAAGAAACATATTAACTATGGGAAAAACCAAATGGCAATTTTAAGACTAAAAAACACATTTGAAATAAAACCTTCAATGGATGGACATAACAGAGATGCCAAAAGAGTCGATGAATTTGAAGAAAGATCCATAGAAATTACCCCCACAGAAAGAAAAAATATTTGGGGAAAAACACTGAATAGGGCAGCAGTGATATTCAGTATCATATTCAAAAATCAAATACACATATAGTTGGAATCTCAGAAAGAGGGGAAAGAGAGATTGAGGTAGAAAAAATGCTTTAAGGGGTGCCAGGGTAGCACAGTCAGTTAAGCATCCAACTTCTTTTGTTAATGTTTATTTATTTTTGAGAGAGAGAGAGACAGAGAGAGAGAGACAGAGAGAGAGAGAGAGAGACAGAGTGCAAGCAGGGGAGGGGCAGAGAGAGAGGGAGACACAGAATCCGAAGCAGGCTCCAGGCTCCGAGCTGTCAGCACAGAGCCCGACGCAGGGCTCGAACTCACAGACTGTGAGATCGTGACCTAAGCCGAAGTCGGACGCTCAACCAGTTGAGCCACCCAAGCACCCCAAGCATCCGGCTCTTGAGCTCAGCTCAGGTCTTGATCTTAGGGTTGTGAGTTCAAACCCCATGCTGGGCTCTGCCCTGGGCGTGGAGACTACGTAAAAAAAAAATGCTTTAAGAGTAATGGTCCAAATTTTACCAGATTTGATGAAAGATAATAAATTTACAGATTTCAAGAAAGTCAGCAAACTCTACAAAGGATAAACAAAATATCTAAAATTACTCCATTAAGGGCGCCTGGGTGGCGCAGTCGGTTAAGCGTCCAACTTCAGCCAGGTCACGATCTCGCGGTCCGTGAGTTCGAGCCCCGCGTCGGGCTCTGGGCTGATGGCTCGGAGCCTGGAGCCTGCTTCTGATTCTGTGTCTCCCTCTCTCTCTGCCCCTCCCCCGTTCATGCTCTGTCTCTCTCTGTCGCAAAAATAAATAAATGTTGAAAAAAAAAATTTTTTTAAATAAAATAAAATTACTCCATTAAAATACAGATTGTCAGAAATGGGGGAGGGGGTGCTGAGCAAGATATTTTTATATTTGTCTCAATGAAACACACTTAATATATAAAAACACTGGTTAGAAGTAGAAGGGGAAAGATGTATCATGAAAACAGGAAGCATAAGAGACTGAATGGCTATAATAATGTCCAGTGAAGTCATCTTTCAGACCAAGACTATGACTGGCAATGAGGAGGGACATTTCATAGGAAAACACATAACATCATAAATACATATGCACCTAATAACAGAGCTTCAAAATACATTTTAAAAATGACGAGAAAAAGAATAGACAATTCTACAGAGTTGGAGATTTTTGTCACCCTTCTCTCAGCAACGGATAGAAAAACTAGATCTAAAATCAGTAAAGAGGGGCACCAGGGTGGCTCACTCAGTTAAGTGTCCGACTCCATTTCAGCTCAGGTCATGATCTCATGGGTACGTGAGTTCAAGCCCTGAGTCTGGCTCTGTGCTGATAGCTTGGGATTCTCTCTCTCTGCCTCTCCCCTGCTCGTGCTCTCTCTCCCTCTCAAAATAAATAAATAAACTTTAAAAAAAATAATTTAAAAACTCAGTAAAGATGCAGAAGGTCTGTCCTATCAACCCCCTTAATGTTAATTGATATTTAGAGAATATTCACTTAACACTCCCATCTTAAATTTTCCATGGGCTTTAGAATAAAATCTGAATTTGTTACTCTGGCCCCCAACCCCATCTCCCTCCTCAACCTCATCTTATCTCACACTACCCGACTCCTCTAATCCACTATGAACATACCATGGTGGTCTAATTTCAGTTCCTCAAACATGCCAAGTTCTTTC